GTTACAAATATGGTATCAGAGCAATAGTTTAAGTGAACTAGGTATCAATAATGGTATCTAGACTTAAACTAGGCGTTGATGTTATATAGTAACTAGGCGAYGATTTATACGRGATATGGACCATTAGGAAAGACCAAGGTTGGGTAAGGGACCATAAATAGGATACTATTTAATACTCTATATTTTAATACTCTCACCATGTGTGCACCTTGTAGGACGATGGCTGATGATGATGTTTTTAGTCATACTCCAACAGACCCTAATGTTGGAGAAAACGATCCCGACCTCAACCTGAATGAGGATGCTACACCGTTGTCTCCCCGTAGTGAACGCTTAATGAAACGACTTACGACTTTCGTTCAACAAACTTTTGAACATCATAAGCATGACATWGAAAAGGGTAAAGAGAAAGAGCTGGGTGGTCTCTCAAAAACCAAATCTGAACGGTCTCGTTTAAAAGCTTTCGAAGTAGTGGTGCTACTGAATTCACTGGACTCTCTGACCCGGTAATCGCGGTGTAGTGGCTTCAAAACATTGAAAAAGTGTTTCGAATTTCCCGAGTGATGAATGAGGATAAAGTGAATTATGCTAGTGCAATGTTGACAAAGCGGCACTCACTTGGTGGGATGCAACTTTTGAATCCCTGACTGAAAATGAACGAGAAAGCTTGACCTGGGAGTTTTTCAAGACTCGTTTCCTTGAGCAATTCTGTCCGATAGACTTGCAACGAAGGCTTGAGAAAGAATTCTTGGAACTCAAGCAAGGGAACATGTCTGTGATTGAGTATGAGACTCAATTTAATCGTAAGACACATTTTGCCTTACGATTCTTATCTTCTGAACATGATCGAATAGAGCATTTTGTTGATGGTCTGAGGAAGGAAATCCGGGAGTTTGTTGTTAATCGTGATATTCCGAGTTTCAATAAAGCTGTGGAGTATGCTTGTCGCCGTGAACACGATTTAACAAAAATTGAGGAACCAACTTCTGAATCGAAGAGGCAACGAACTGAAAGAACCTTCTCTGTACCTACTCAGCGACAATCTCGATCTTTCACTCCTAGAAGGACTCAATCTCAAAACATTCCGCGTGCCCAATCACAAGTCTATTCACTTCAATCTAATGCGTCACATCCTTGTCAAAGATGTGGCAAAACTCACCAAGGGCGATGCCTTACTGAAACAACAAACTTGAAATGTTTTTGTTGTGGGGAAATGGGTCACGTTCGTGTAAACTGCCCAAAAAGAAATCGAGCAT